AAAGTGTTCTAAGAACCACATTAGACGAACGTTAACCATACGTTCAAAGAGTTTGCAGACAACTCGTGAGGCCAATAGGGCGAAAGTCCTTAGGGGATGTCCCAAGAGACCCTGGTTTCTGAACAGGGAGGATAACGGCATCGAGCCAGTCCTCAGAGACTGACGACGACTCCCAGACCCGATTACACAGATTCATTAAATACTGAGACAAGCACAGAAGGAGATAGCTAATCATCTCATAATGAATGCCATTAGAGCCCGCCGCCGTAGAACCGCAGAGGGCCAGGGCAGACTAAAATTCAGAGAGAGAGAAGGGATCATTATAAGGAAGTCTGAGATGAGTGCAGAAATCTAAAGGACGAGATTCAAGGACAGGTTTACGAAGAAGGAAAGATTGAGGAAGATGAGAACCAGAATTGAATAGCCTAGCTCCTGATAATACTTCGTAATTAGGAATATAATATTATCAGTGTTAGTAATTGATTAGTTTATTTGTACTGATTATTTATAAATCAGTAATTTATATTTGATTAATGTTCCATCCGGTTACGAAAGACCATAAATGTTGTTTTATGGGTGGCAACCAGTTCTATCATCTAGAGTCGAAGGACCATAAAAAATGTGGGGGGGAATTCACTCTAACATATAAGATTCAAAAGATAGGAGAACCATAAAATAAGTATGGGCTTAGAGAACCAGTGATCTATGGCTAGCAATAATAAATTTAATAATCGATTTAAAATGAATTTAGAGAAGTGGACTGTAACACTTCTATTAAATTTAGAGCTAATCCCTAACACATCTTTTGGGGGGTTAAATTCTATAATGTTAGTATATCTATAATATTGAAATAACATGTTCATAAATCATTAGAAATCAATAAGGTTTGGGGATTAAATTTCTAACTACAATATGGAACAGATAACAGCTTAGCTGCCAAAGTTGAACATAAAATACATCCGGCAACTATGACCCGTTTAATACTGTCCGAGTTGATATTGAGTTCTCTAGTGACATGTGACTCTACTGTTGGAATTGCGTCCCTTTTAAGTTAGCTCCACGATGAAAGAGGAATCATATGTAATTTCCACTAATTAATTAATATATTAATACATTTACTCACGTAATCTGAGTGGATTGGTGGTAAAATTTACACTCAAGTGGGTCATTATATTTCCATGCTGTATAACGACAAGGCACTAACATAAACCTAAAAACTGGTTAAATTAGAATGAAAGTGGTACTCAGCCTTGCCGGACATGGTGTCCATAATCATAGGAAGCTGTCGAATCGATCCGAAGCTTGTTACTGTAAGGATGCTCCTCTATTTGGTCAATAATAAGCATCAGCTCCAGCACACTAGCCCTTCCACTGCTCAGGGGTCCTGGGGACATTTACACCCCTGTGCACAAGAAAAAAAAAATAAATTTTTTTTTTCGTCTTCGAAACATGTTAATTTGTGTCCCCTGAGCACGGAAAAAATAAGAAAAAAAATCGTAGGTGACATATTTTGGGCGCAATTGACCGAGGAAGTCTGGCAAAAAAGTGGGCGTTGACAGAGCGGTCGTCAGACCCGGTCAGCGTCACCCGCGCTGACAGGTGGGAGTTGCCACAAAGATATTATTACCTAATTGTTTCAATGTCTCCGATTGATTTTTTCTTAGTTTTTTTGCAGTAATATTATTCAATAGTGTGTATTGTAATATATTTATATAATAAACGTGGTGAATAATCGCTATACTCAAAAGTATGATGTGCATATTAGTGATTCAATTATTATGTTTATAAAACAATAAACAAATAGTTTTGCTGCTATTACACTCTATACACAGGTTATATATAAGTATCTGCATGTTTTGGTCACCATAACGAACCACTAAGTTGGTATTAAGAGTCGAAAAGCAACAAAGAGTTACCGCCACACACCAGCCAGCCATTCGCTGCCACTCCCTCAACACACGCACTAAACTTTCGTCCCCAACAATACCATTTGTGGTGTTATTACACTATATACAGATATTATATATAAGTATGTATATATTTTGTTCACCACAACTGTACAGCTAAGCTGATATAGTTAGTTCAGGCACTAAGAGTCGTCGCTATACACAGATGGCGGCTGGCGGCTCCCTCACTCATTCAAGGTCACACGCACTAAACTTTCTCCCCCTTTCTTTCTGTTTGCAGTGTTATTACCCTATATACACATATTATATATAAGTATCTACATGTTTTATGCACCGTAACTGTACACCTAAGCTTGTAGTGCGCCCAAAGAGCATAGTGGCCACCCTCTAAACAGCTAGACAAATCGTGCAGACGACGTCACCTCCGTCACCCATATGGCTCCTCCCAGCATAATACTTTTGCTGTTATTACACTAATACACACATTATATATAAGCATCTACATTTGTGTTCACCATAGAGAACCACTGACCTGGTATGGTGAATGCAAACAATAACAGCTAGCCACACAGTCAGTAAACGATGCTGTCTCCCTCCGTCTCTCAGCATCACTCCTTCCACAGCGCTAATTATTACAACAATCCTGCTATTATCACAACCCTGGTTATTTATATCAGTCAGGGGTCATCTGTAATATTGTCATCGCTAAATAATAACAATTATATATTTATTTTGACATTTTTCGGCAATGCTGTGGTCACAAGCTGAACAGCAATGCTGTTCGCTCATGCTGCGTGCGCCAACCTTGGTTGCTCCAACAGTACTGTGCCTCTCACACCTGAGAATATTGCCCACGATTTAAAAAAAATGGCGTCTGTTTACAAGACCCCGGAGGAAGCTACTGTGAACCCCGTGTAGCCGCGGGCCATTTGAATCAGGCCTGGCACCCTATGGCGTATATATACGCCATGCGCACCTTGGGACATGTTTCTCAGGGCATATATATATGCCATGCGCAGTTTAAGGGCTAGATTGCGTCTATCTCTTCCCTCTCGTCTCTAGTGACTCATGCGACACCTAGCGTCGCATGTTGGAACTTCGGAACTAATTCGTGATATTTTATTCATGTTTCCGAATAGATGGAGACATTACCAACGTTAATTTACGTCATAATAACGTGCTCTATATAACAACAGATTGTTTCTATCTAGGCAAATCCTTTAATGTAAGTGATGTTAGATGGACGAGAAATATTCATAGTTTAAATACAGTTCATTGTTTTGTTTACTGAATCAGCTGATCGCAGCTGTATAAATCTAATTCCAATAAACTATATAATTCGTTACCTAAGAATGAATCTATTACTAATCGATGTTCCTTAATAAATAATACAATTTTAGATTGGATTTAATTCGATTCACGAATATGAAGAAATTATTCTTCCTGGCTGGGTAGCTGACGGAACCATCGCCATTATTTCTAGGAAGAATCTGGTGCTTCTACGCCTCAGTTTAATAAATGTAATATTGCTTCAGTATGAGTTTGTAGTATTAGTAAATTATATTCCTGAGTACAATAGATTTATAATGCTGCACCAGGGATTAGTATTTTGGTGTTGGAAATTTCCAGCGGCACTCGACCATATATGTAGGTTTGCACACCAAAACCATGCAGTCGATCCCTACACCACAACAATACAGTAGGTATCCACACCACAATCATACATGTAAGTCTGCACACCACAACCATACAGTAGGTCGCCATACTACAATACACACTACACTACAGTACACACTACCTTACACACACTACAGGTAGGTCTTCACACCACAATCATACAGGTAGGTCTCTATATCACAAAAATACAGATAGGTATCCACACCACAACCATACATTAGGTCTCCTCACGACAACCATACAGGGATGTATCATTACAACCATAGAGGTAGGTCTCCACACAACAACCATACAGGTAGGTCTCCACCACAACTATACACGTATGTCTCCACACCACAACCATGCTGGTAGGTGTCTCCACACCACAACCATACAAGTAGGGGTCTCCACACCACAAAAATACAGGTAGGTGTCTCCACACCACACCTATACAGGTAGGTGTCTCCATACCACAACCACACAGGTAGGTGTCTCGACACGACAACCATACAGGTATTTGTCTCCATAATACAACCATACAGGTAGGTGTTTCCACACCACAACCACACAGGTAGGTGTCTCAACCCACAACCACACAGGTAGGTGTCTGCACACCTACCATACAGGTAGGTGTCTCAGCACCACAACCATACAGGTAAGTGTGTCAACAGTACAACCGTACACTCAGGTCTTCACACCACAACCATACATGTTGGATTCCACACTACAACCATACAGGTAGATCTGCACACAACAACCATACAGGTAGATCTGCACACAACAACCATACAGGTAGGTATCCACACAATAACAATACAAGTAGGTCTCCACACCACAGCCACACAGGTAGGTCTCCACACCACAGCCACACAGGTAGGTCTCCACACCACAGCCACACAGGTAGGTATCCACACCACAACCATAATGGTAGCACACCACAAGTATACAGTCGGTCTCCACACCCCAACCATACAGTCGATCTCCACACCACAATTATATATGTAGGTCTCCACACCTCAATTATACATGTTGGACTACACACCACAACCATAAAGTCCGTGTGAATCTCAACAATACATGGAACTACCGCATGTGGATCTCCCCACACAAAAAGATAATAGTTGGCATCATATATGTGGATAATGATAGCACTGCAAAATGGATGACTCATTGTGATAAAGAATCACCCTCACACTTTTGTGGGATTGTAATTGTCATTACAATCATTTTTCTCCCAGTTAAGTGGAACCCATAAAACAACTGATGTGTTAAATGTTATGCAAATATTTTGCCCAGCTTTTATTCTGAAATATAATTATGAAAATATATTTGAGAACGAATATATAAATTTTGCCTGTCTGACTTCTGCTAAAAGCTGACTTTATATCTTAGAGAGTATGAGTTAACAAGTCACATTAACAACTGTAATGTAAACAGATAACGCAAATCAGTGGGCAGCCGTCTCGTGTGGAAGACACTTCCAAGCACCACCGCAGGAAGGAAGAGGAGTCAACACCTGGAAGTGAAGGGGAGGAGCCAACGCAGGAAGAGACCTGACCAAGAGGAACACAAAAACGAAACAAAATGAAGCACAGTTGACATACTTAGGGGCAATGGCTTTAACAAAATATTAGAGTGATTTCTGCACCTTGGCTGCATCTCCAGCTTGCTGATGCTGTGCCGTAACCCTCTACACATCATCTCTCTACTCAAACTTCAAAACCTTTATCAACGTCCATCAATTTCATGACTGACAAACAGCTATCCGTCTCTGTATTACATCATTCAATTAATGATTATAATAATAATAATAATAATAATAATAATAAATATAATAATAATAATAATAATAATAATAATATAATAATAATCTATATAAATAAAAATGGAAATGTTCGTTTGTGCATAATCGCTAATCTCTGAAAGTTCTTCACCGATTGCTTTGAAATTTTCACACAACGTTCCATTCACATCTGGCCAGGTTTTTATATATATACTATATAGATGTCACGTCTGTGGCGGTAAAAAAAACATGTTTTTTCTGAAAAACTGTGTTTTTCATGTGCGGGAAATCTTCGAAACCTCTTTATCGATTGCTTTGAAATTTTGACACAACGTTGCATTCGAATAGGCACGTCTTTTTATATGTCTACTATATACATGCTTCACCTGTGACATGAAAAACATGCTTTTTCTGAAAAATTGTGTCATCTGTTGGACGTAAGAGCAACACATGCTGTAATCTCCGAAAGTCTTTCACCGATTGCTTTGAAATTTTGACACAATGTTGCATTCGAATAGGCACGTCTTTTTATATTCCAACTATATAGATGCCACCCCCATGACAGGTAAACACATATCTTTTTGAAAAACAGTGCCATCTGTTGCACATAATTGCAACATACTCGCTATACTAAATACGTCACGAATTCCATTTCAATGTTTCTGATTGCATTGATAAATTAAATTTTCATAAATTTTGATTAATTTAATTTTTTATTGAATTATTTTGTTTGACTGTGTAGGAATTGAGCTGTGTTCTTTACCATACCGTTCATTTTGTAAGTATAATTATAGATGCCTCACCTGTGACAGGTAAAACTATGCTTTTCTTGGAAAACAGCGTCATCTGTTGCATGTAAGAGCAACACACATGCTATCTATATAAATAAAATTGGAAATATTCTTTTGTGCATAATCGCTAATCTCCGGAAGTTCTTCACCGATTGCTTTGAAATTTTCACACAACGTTCCATTCGCATCTGGCCAGGTTTTTATATACATACTATATAGATGTCACGCCTGTGATGGTAAAAAAAAAACATGCTTTTTCTGGAAAACTGTGTTTTCATGTCTTTTTCATGAGGAAAACAGCGCCATCTGTTGCACATAATAGCAACATGCTGCTATACTAAATATGTCACGAACTCCATTTCAATGCTTTCGATTACATTGATAAATTTTATTTTCATGAATTTTGATTTATTTTATTTTTTATTGAATTATTTTGTGTGACTGTTGGAATTGAGCTGTGTTGTTAACCATACCGTTCATTTCATAAGTATAAATATACATGCCACACCTGTTTGATAGGGTTCTGGGAGTTCTTCTACTCCCCAAGCCCGGCCCGAGGCCAGGCTTGACTTGTGAGAGCTTGCCCCACAAGGCTGTTGCTTATACCTGGTTGATACCTGGTTGATGGGGTTCTGGGAGTTGTTCTGCTCCCCAAGCCCGGCCCGAGGCCAGGCTTGACTTGTGAGAGTTTGGTCCACTAGGCTGTTGCTTGGAGCGGCCCGCAGGCCCACATACCCACCACAGCCCGGTTGGTCCGGCACTCCTTGGAGGAATAAATCTAGTTTCCTCTTGAAGATGTCCACAGTTGTTCCGGAAATATTTCTTATGCTTGCTGGGAGGACGTTGAACAACCGCGGACCTCTGATGTTTATACAGTGTTCTCTGATTGTGCCTATGGCACCTCTGCTCTTCACTGGTTCTATTTTGCATTTTCTTCCATATCGTTCACTCCAGTACGTTGTTATTTTACTGTTTAGATTTGGTACTTGGCCCTCCAGTATCTTCCAGGTGTATATTATTTGATATCTCTCTCTCGTCTTCTTTCTAGTGAGTACATTTGGAGGGCTTTGAGACGATCCCAATAATTTAGGTGCTTTATTGCGTCTATGCGTGCCGTATATGTTCTCTGTATTCCCTCTATTTCAGCAATCTCTCCTGCTCTGAAGGGGGAAGTGAGTACTGAGCAGTACTCAAGACGGGACAAAACAAGTGACTTGAAGAGTACAACCATTGTGATGGGATCCCTGGATTTGAAAGTTCTCGTAATCCATTCTATCATTTTTCTGGCTGTCGCAATATTTGCTTGGTTGTGCTCCTTAAACGTTAGGTCGTCAGACATTATTATTCCCAAATCCTTTACATGCTGTTTTCCTACTATTGGTACATTTGATTGTGTTTTGTACTCTGTATTATGTTTAAGGTCCTCATTTTTACCGTACCTGAGTACCTGGAATTTATCACTGTTAAACATCATGTTATTTTCTGATGCCCAGTCGAAAACTTTATTAACATCAGCTTGAAGTTTTTCAATGTCTTCAGCCGAGGTAATTTTCATACTGATTTTTGTGTCATCTGCAAAGGATGATACGAAACTGTGACTTGTATTTTGACTTATTAGTCATTATTCTGACTTTGTATTCTGACTTTGTAGCTGTGACTTACCTGTGACAGGTAAAAATATGCTTTTCTTGAAAAACAGCGCCCTCTGTTGCATATAAGAGCAACACACACGCTATTCTAAATATGTTACAATTCCATTTCAATGTTTCTGATTGCATTGATAAATTTAATTTTCATAGATTTTGATTTATTTTCAATTTGATTTAATTATTTGGTGTGAATTGCATTGGAATTAAGCTGTGTTGTTTACCATACCGTTTATTTCGTGAGTATAGTTTATTTTTTTTTATTTTGTAATATTTTCATTTCATTTTTAACTGTATTTCTTATATTTCAGTGATGGGAACATCAGATCACTTGATGTTCCCAATTTTCTGATGGGAACATCAGACCATTTGGGAAGGCATCGGACGAAGGAGTGGGGAATGGTGGGGATGACGTCCCCACATCATCCCCACCATTGAGAGATGGTGGGGAAGACAAAGGGACAAGGGAGGGGGTAATGGTGAGGAAGGACGAGGGGACGAGGGAGTTTGGGATGGTGGGGACGAGGGGATTGGGGAATGGAGAATGGTGTGGAGGACAAAGGGACAGGGGAGTGAGGCATGGTGGGAAGGACGAGGGGATGGTGGAGTGGGGAATGGTTGCGAGGCCGAGGAAACGGGTAAGGGGGGGATTGGTGGGGAGGACTGGGGGACAGGGAAGGTTGCTGTGGGTCAGCAACGCACACGCGTTGCTGACCCACAGCAACGCGTGGTCGGGTACTGCTAATAATAATAATAATAATAATAATAATAATAATAATAATAATAAATAATAATAATAATAATAATTATTATTATTAATTCTTCATGAATTATTAATGTATAAAGTACGACATTCTTTATACAGTAAAAACAGAATGATTTATGGGTCATGTAGAACAGTGGATCGAGTCGTCGGCTTATGTGAACCAAGGATCCTTGCTACGATTTTTGGGAGAGACAAATGGTTGGGTACGTTTCCTTTACCTGAAGAACTTGTTCACCTAGCAGTAAATAGGTACCCAGAAGTTAGGCAGCTATTATTGGATGCATCCTGGGGAGGATGGGAAGTTAGCTTAAACTGCTTAGGGGATCTTGGTAGGCCTAACAGCCTTTGTTGTCCTCTACTGTGGGGAACAATACAGTGAAATGTTACATATTGTTGCAATTCTACAATTCTAATCAACTCGTAGAAATGAAACTTGAAAATTAACAATTACTACAATTAAACTGTAATTAATAATATAAATTTTATCATAAATACTGTCAGGTCCACAGATGCTGTTATTTTAAGCAAAACTATTAACTGTTAGCTATTTAGATATTCCCTATCGCTAGTTATATAACAAAATTAAATTCCAAGGACCTCCACATCAAGATAAACACTATATATTCGATCGATACCTGAAGGACTATCCAACAGATAACATGGGTACTTAGGATAGAGTAAGCAGAGACCCCAGCCATCACGTCTGTCCCCCTCCACACCACTGATACAACTGACTTTCCATCAGGGTTGCCAAAAGTATTTTAAAGAATGTACCAAAAATGTTAACTATAAATTACGAAATTTTACTGACAATACCAAATTTACAATTTAACAAAAATAAGAATTATAATGATAAATAGTTGGTCAGTTTTGGAGTCTTATGTACTAAATACATATTTTAATGTGTTTTTTCTGTTTTATAGCCTATTTGTATGTGGAATATTCCCTTGTACTTCACATTCACAGTATTTACAAATTGCTTTATTCTAGTCTCTTACTTTTAACGATCCTCTCGCAAAATCATTAATAAAGCAATATATTTTGTTACACATTATGTGCACTGTTTTCATTGCAATATTTTCTCCGTGGGAGCCGAAAACGATCCGCCCGAATCTTTTCACTATATCATAGTTTTTGTTTCGTTTCTGAAGCATTAAAGTGGGGTTTAAAATATCATAACAAGAACCACGTCACAATAAACAACCACATCTCAACAACGGGCCCCTCATGACTGGTCAGAGCATAGCAACCTGACTGTCCTCGCCAGTGTTGACATTGACGCCACCATACTTGAGGCTAGTGTTGACATTGAGGGCACCATACTTATGCCATTGTTGACATCAACGCCATCATACTTGAAGCCAGTGTTAACATTGACGCCACCATTCTTAAGGCCAGTGTTGACATTGACGCCACCATGCTTGGAGCCAGTGATGTCATTAACGCAGCCAAACTTGAGGCCAGTGTTGACATTGATGCAACTATACTTGAGCCCAGTGTTGACATTGATGCAACCATACTTGAGGCCTGTGTTAACATTAAAGTCACCATACTTGACGACAGTGTTGCCA